GACGCCCGTACAGGGACACCCCCTCCCGAGGCTCCTCTTACCCTGACCTCCTCGGCTTCCTTCTTCTTTGGCCGCGGGCACCCAGGGGCCCCAGACCCCGAGCTACAATTTTCAGCTGATGGGTGGCGGCGTTGGGGCACCCAATGCGCATGCCTGCAATTCCTCCCTGGAAAGGAGGCGGGGCTCGCTCCCCTCCCATTGGCCAGCTGGGTGGAGTGACAGCGGCCCTTCCCCGCCCCCTCTAGTTTTAAGTTTAAGAATGAGGGTTCCAGCAAAATTGCAAGGGAGGTGTTCCTTGAGGCCTGACCTGCAGGTGGTGAACGCCTTAGCCTTTGTGCAGGGAATAGAGAGCAGCTGTCTTCTTTTGTCCGGTGATGCTGGCCCCTCTAGATTCCTGTCTTCAGCTCGTCCTATCAGCTCATGCCTATCTTGTTTCCTAACCCTTAACTCTGCAGTAGAGCGCATTCGCAGCTGCATTAAAAATTGTGAATGCAAATAAGCAATGCTAGCAGGAACAACGAAGGAATAAGTGAACTCATTTCCGTGTGCTCACTTAGTAGACAAGTTTTCATAGCACACACAAATTACTCTAAGCATCTCTGAAGGGCAGGAAGTAATTTTCACAGGAGTTGAGAAGCGCAGAGAGTGGTCTTACGATAAATATTCAAATATAATGTAATTGTTAGAGAAAAAGCATTAATTGCTTCAGGTGAAAGAAATACCAAATTAATTAGAAGATAGATTGGCTTGGCCTTTGTCTATTAAGGCAACAATATTTTCTGAAAGGATATCAGGACATTGAAAGTCCAGATGGTCTAAGGTGGGAAAAGACAAACCACCTGAGCAAATTCTAGGTTGTTTTGAATTATACATACACATGTACATAAGTGAGTGAGGTCCACCAGGGAAAAGAAACAGAAGTTTGTTTTTCATTCTCTTCTTTCAACAGAGAAATGGGAACAAGAACTATTTTCTATTTCTCATCTCTCCTGAAGGAAGCTATAATCCAAGTGTGTTAATAAGCAGCAACTTATACTCTGCTTCTGCGAAGAGGGGGCAATAGAGACCATTATACTGGTCAAGCAGAAGGCATGTGTCCCATCTAAAGGTATAGCATTCTTCAGCTAGACCCCATTGTGGACTTTTAGGAATAATAGCCCAATATAGTCAGATGATCTGCTTTGTCAAGATATATTGGAAATTCTGATTTTTATGTGAAATATTTTTTTCAGTATTCTTAAGTTGTTGTAAAATGTTCTGCAATCAAATAAAATATGTGTTTCACCCTCTGTAATAGGCAGTAGTTTTAGCCATAGAGTGCTAAAGCTGGAGAAAGCCTAACAAAAAATGTAGCCCCACTTCCTCATTTCACAGATTAAAAAATCTGAAACCCACAGAGACATCATCAAAACCACACAAATAATTACAAGCAGCACAGGTCCAGATGACCTAGTTCAGAATCTTGAGTTCTTCCTACCATAAAATTCACTCAGCAAATATTCATTGAGAATCCACCCTGTGCCAGATTCTGTGCCAAGCACTGCAGATATCAAGATGAGTAGGATAGAGTATTTCCCCTCATGTTGCTTGAGGAGTGAGAACCTTTCCAGACCACTGCAAGAGATACTGTGATAAAGATTTGTTCATAGAACAGAGGGAGCCCAGAGATAAGGTTGACTCACTGTGGGGTCAGGAACCACTCCAAAAGGGAAGTGTTACTAGAATCTTGAAAAATGTGTAAGAGTTCACTGGGAAGACAAGATGGAAAAGGATGTTCCAGCCAAAATGAAGAGCACATAGAACTTCATAAAATCATAGGCAAGTGTAAATTCTCAGGGATCTCTCATAATTTTAATTAGATAAAGCAGAGTGGGTGGACTGAAGGGACATAAGACTGGAAAATCAAGTGGAGTTTATACAATGAAAAACCTCTCTGTCACGTTAAATGAGTATCAAATAGGTGTTAAACTATTAAAGCAAAGAGATGATGTATTCATAATTCCATACAGAGAAAACTCTGGAGAAGCAGGGGAAATTAAAGGAAAATAACAGAGACAAAGAGAGAGAGTCTGATTTTGACCACTTAGAAGGCTGTTGCAATAGTAACATCCCCCAATTAAGAATTTCCTAAACATCAGAGGTATTGAAGGACTATAGTAAGGCAATATATTGAAGAAGAGGTGGTGAGGACTACTTTGAGAAATATTTGAGACTTGGAAATCAGTTAGAAATGGAGAATTAAAGACATAATTTCTATTTTTAAGACACACACAACTGAGCAGAACATGGTGTAGCCGAGATCTAAGATTGCTGATCAAGCAATTGCAGTTTGAGGATGGAGGTAGTGAAATGAGGGAACAAAGTGACAATATGTTTAGCTTGGGACATATTGTGTTTAAGATTCTGGAGAAGTGATATTCAGTTCGAGATGTCCAGCTCCTACAGGTACCTGAGAATGGGAGCTGGAGTTCAGGATAGAGTTCTGATTGGAGCTATGGGAAGAGATGATCTCTCTAATTCTAAGGATGGGATGTTATCAACTTTCTGTGTTTAAGGGAGAGCAGAGAAAGAAAAACTCTGAAAAGGAGTAATCAGAGCAATAGGAAGTAAGCCAGAAAAGATGTAGAGAATGAAGGAAGACATTTCAAAAAAGAAGGAATGGTCCATGATATCACATATCACAGGAAGTTCAAGTAAATTAAGAACCAAACATTGTGCATTAGACTTGGGAATTAAGAAGTGGTTGGTGATTTAGGAAGAAATATTTCAATCAGTCAAGGAGCTGTCATGTGTGGGAGCCCATGACTGGGTTAATAAATTGTAACAGACCCCAGTTGCTTGTGACCTTTAGGAAGAATAAATGTGCTTTGCTAGCAGGCATCTGTGCATCCGCACTCCTGTCTCCTTCCGGTAAAAAGCAGAGACAATGCCTTGCTTGCATAGTTGAGATTTTAGCCTGGGGCTGCTTCCAGTGGCAAAGTCATTGTGTGTCCCTCGCTATAAAAGCAGGACACGGCTTGTTTTAAGAATAGGTCCATAGTCCAGGGTTTACTCTTCTAGTTGCAAAGCGACAACCGCATGCCCTCAGCTATAAACGCTGGGCATGCTTTCTGCTGTTTAGATAGTCTATAACCCCCAAGACAATGAACTGGCTGGTCTGATGGTCTGTTTTGTAATCAACATCTTATGTCTGAAGAATGTACCTTGTTCCTCTCCCTCCATGACTGCCCTGAGAAGATAAATTAAACCTTTGTACTCATTGTGGAATTTATGATCTCTATCCGATCCTGTTTTTCCTTAAGCACCTGCTTTCTGTGACACAATTGTTTGTGATCTTTTCTTTGATTGTATACAATAAATATGAGAATGTTTGAGAGGCTCGGAGAGTTGGTCCCCGACTCCCTCTCACTCTCTTGACTTTCCACAGAGTCTCAAGTAACTCATTCTGTCTCGATGGGACTTCTGCTGGAGAGAACCCACAGTCATGCAAAGAATTTACATCTATATAAGGTATGCTGCATTTTCCAAACATCCCTTTGTGTTACCTTTGCTAGAATCCTGGACTGTGGGAGGGGAAATCACGAAGTGCTGTAGGAGAACTGAAGGCTAGGTGGTGTCCTCAGGTCACCCTGCTAGTTCCCAACTGAACAAGGACCAAAGCTCAGGTGTCTGAATCCTCCTCTTGGGCTTCTTCCAATTTTCCATGTTTTAAAACATGTTATGAGTGGATTCCTTTCAGGTCTTTTGAAAACTAAGAATAAGATCCCACCCCTTTGTATTCAAGTGAAAAAATAAGTACAGTTTAGTTAAACCTGAAATATTTACAGGTACAGAAGATGAATGACTTCTAAAAGAAATCCTGGTATTTATAGCATCCCATCGAGCGCCTTCCTGCTTCTTAGTGAAATTTAGCTAGGTGCCTCGAACCCAGTAGGGCTCAAACATTTTACTGATTGCAATTCTTTTCACTTCTGCCCTAACAAACCCTTACACTTGTAGGAATTACCTACGTCTGAAGGCTTGTGATTTGGATTTTTCAGTGCTAGTAACTCTAGGAATTTGGGTCTTCTTGGAAAGATTTTTGAAGGGCAACCAGAAGTAAGTCTTTGAGTGGGAATCTTCTGTTATCTGCACACTTGTGTCCTTATTACTATAAATACCACCCAAATAACCCCTGTCACGTAGGCTACGGTGTATACGCTTCACTGCTGTATCTCCACTGTTTGGAATAGCAACTCTAGCGAATGGAAGGAGATAATTGTCCGTTCATGAAATAGTCCCTGAACTAAAAACACTTGTTAGAAGACCATCATATGATATTGTCGGACAGAGAAGGAAAAGACACAAAAAGGAAAATATAGCAAGACAAGGAATTTATTGATTAATGAGAGGTACAAGTATGCTTGTGAAAGCTTGTTTTTTTTAAAAATTTTAATACAGTGGGAAATCCACAGCTCTTTTAAGAAATCTGTGCTAGATTAAAAGGCAGCTTAATTTAATATCTAATAAACAATAGTTTGTTCCAGTGTGCCTTTTAAAAATTATTATTATTGAAGTATAGCCGGTTTACAAGGTGTTAATTTCTGGTGTACAGCATAGTGATTCAGTTATACATAAATACACATATATATTCCTTTTCATATTGTTTTTCATTATAGACTACTACAAGATATTGAATACATAGTTCCCTGTGCTATACAGTGGGACCTTGTGGTTTATCAATTTTATATATAGTTGTTGTATGTGAAAATCTCGAACTCCTAATTTATCCCTCCATGCCCCCCTTTCCCCTCTGGTAACCATAAATTTGCTTTCTACGTCTGTGAGTCTATTTCTGTTTTGTAAATAAGTTCATTTGTGTCATTTTTTTTTAGAGTCCACATATAAGTGATATCATATGGTATTTCTCTTTCTGACTTACTTCATGTAGTATGACAATCTCTAGGTCACCTCTCATCTGCCGCTGCAGTCTGCTTGTTAATCTAAGACCACTCAATGCTTAGTTATACGCCAAGCACAGAGCAGAGTTTGCTCTTACTTTTAAACAAAGAGGTAATAGACATCCGATAGAAATTTTACATGGATGATTACAGCATGACGATTGGTATGTTCATTTCTCATTTTATTCCTAAATATTGTCGATATGTGCCCTCTTCTCTCTGCCTCTCACTGTCTGTGTCCCAA